GAGATTTCAGTTAACAATTTGATTCTTGTAATACTATTATTTGTGATTTGAGTTTGTAATAATTGAAAGATTTCATTATATTGAGAAACAACATCACTTTCTTTCTTTTCTTTTAACATGGCTAATACTGATGCAGATGCTGTATCAAGAAATTCTGAAATTTCATTTGAATTTTTATATACAGACTCTTCAATGTCTATTGTTTCTTTTAAATTTGATGCCCATTTAAATTTTACTTTATCAAAAGGAATATCATTCTTTAATGTGAACAACCATTCATTAGCTCTAGGTCGAATATCAGCAGCAAATGGGAATAGAAAAGATTTCCAATCTTGTTTTTCTGAAGAAAGATATATTTGAGGTGATGAAACAGCAGAAACTGAATGGGTAATTTGTGAGTCTCCTATGATCCATTGAAAAACAGTTGAAAGGACTTTTAAAGAAACAAGATGATAACTATCTTCAGTACATCTTAAAAAGTAATTTGAGATACTTCTTAAGAAAATAATATTTTTTAAACTAATAAGTTGTAATGATGGAGAAGTTTTATTTACTTCATTACTAACATATGTCACAAAAGATTTAAATGAGTCTGGAATCATTTTAAAAGAAAATAATCTTAAAAAAATCCCTTCAAGTAACTCTTTCATCTTAATGATAGAAGTCTCAAATTTATCACTTTCTGGGTCTATGGTTAATGTAATATCTTCTGATACTATTTCTGATATTGCTGGAAAAATACACGTATCGAATATTTCATTAAATTCAAGATCTGTATAATATTTAATAACTTTAGACTGGACTGAATTTCTTCTAAACATTGATGAAGGTGTAGTTACACATTCTAAAATTTCTGAAGTTACAAGGTGTTGTAACAACTCAGGTAATTTCTTACGAACAGCAAAACCATTGAAAATTGCTTCAATATATTTATGTTGTTCTTCAGAAGAATTAATACCTCTAATATAATATTTCAAAGTTGCAGTAACTAAGTCTGGTTTTAACCCATAAAAAACATCATTAAAAGAAGGTAATATTCCTTTGTTATTCATGATGATGAGTTTTAATTATGAAAGGAAACAAAATTTTTTTATATTATTTTTATTTTTCCTTTTTTATAGAATTTATTTTTATTAATATTTGAAAATTAACACAAAATCGTTTAATTATGACTTTTTTAAATCATTTCGATTTAAATCTAAACTACTTCGAGGAGTTGATGCATACATATCATCATCTATCATTATAGAATTAGGAGAAAAATCATCATGAAGAGAAATTAGATCTAATTCTGAACTTATTTGACTTGGAAGAGTCTTTTTTAATTCTTCCATTTGTTTTAATAAGTCAACTCTATCTGGATAAAATCTTTTAAGCATTGTAAAGAATGCTTTTAACATTAAACTAGAATTTTTTCTTGAAGTTTCATCATCAATATCTGTCATTTGAATAATTAAAGAAATAAAATCTGGGATTGTAGATGCGTTATGGATAGAGTCTATTCGTTTAAAATTATCAATAAAAAATCTTACAATAAAGGTTAATAAATACATCTTATGAAGTGAATCGACCTATATTTATAAGTAATAGAAATAAAAGATAGAAAGAAATTAAAAAAAAAGATATAAAATGAAATGAACAAACTTTAAACTCTATTGATTTTTTATAAGCAATATCTACCATTACAAGATAAAAAGAAGATGGGATATGAGCAGAATAATATTTAAAAATCATTTGAGAAGTATTAAAGAATTGTTTAAAAATTTCAGGACCTTCTTTTTTAGAAAGAACACAATCAAATTGAAGTTTAACAACATCACATAATTCTTGAAATAAAGGGACAGCAGGGTGAAAAGGAAATGGAGCAAAAGAAAAGATTCTTCTCATAACAATAATACTAAATTCAAAGTAATCTAAAGTACCAATAACAACATAAATATTTTTCATATCTTTAATAATAATTTGTAAAGTAGTTTGATCAGTAATTGTAATAAAAGGTCTTGTTAAAACAACAAAAGACTCAGGATATTTTTTTAAACACATTTGAATAAAAGAAGGAATACTTTGTTGATCAATAGAAGAGACATAACTAAATAAAAGATCAAACATAATTTTTGTTTTATCTTTTATTAATTCAAAATGTTTTTGGTCAAGACAAGCAATAAATAAAAAGAAAGAAGAAACAAGAGTATGTTTTGAAATATATTTTTGAAAGAAAAAAGGAATTAATGACATTACAAAAGTTAATACAATTTTACCATTATTAATTCCATTTTCTTTTAAACAAAAAGATAATACAGATAATAAAAATTGTTCCCAAAATATTTCTAGTCTATTAATATTAAGACAAACAATATGTTGAATAAGAATATGATAAGAATTAATCATTGTTTCATTTTTTTCATTTACAAGATTATTTAAAATTGCCATTAAAAATCCATTTATTTGTTCACATGTTAATTTTAATGGAATAATACTCATAATTTTTTGAACATATTTATTAGGATCCATTGATTGTATTTTTCTTTTTATTGTTTTTCTTCTTTTAAAGACACTTGTCATAATTCTTTTAGTATTTTTTATAGTATCTTTAGGTGATATTACATTATTACTTATTAAAATAGAATATACCTCACTAATATCTTTCCATTCATTAATATATTCATAATTTGTTACTAATATTTCTGCAAATCTAACAATTGCTTTTAAACTTTTTATTGAATTAAGAAGAATGTCATGTTGGTCTAATATTTCTGATTCTTTCATTTCCCATAATAATATTTTTTGAATAAATGTACTTCTTTTATTTTCTCTTGAATAATTTGCTAATAATGAATTTCCATCAACTAAATTTTGTGTAATTGTTATATCCCAATTATGCCATTCATTAGATGTTGAATTATACCATTCTTCAAATACTTCTAAAATAATTCCAAGTTGATTATCATCTTTCCATGTATTACAAAATTTTTCTTTTGTAAATAAATATCTTTTAATATGTCTCATTGGTTTTATTGGAGGTGTAGTACTAATAAAATATGGACAATTTTTAAAAACTCCATCTACAATTGTTTGAATTCCATTATCAACTATTTTACTTGAAACACTTTTTGCATATCTTTTTAATGATTCTGTTGTTAAAAACATTTTATCATTCCAATATTTTTGATATAATTCTAATGTTAATCCGAACATTTCTTTATATTCCTCTAATACACTTTCTTCTGTTTCTCCATGTTTATTTGCAAAAAGAAGTGAACAATCTTCTATTAATTGTTTTCTCATTAACATATCATCTGGAATATTTATTCTTCTTAAAACCTCAAAAAAACTTTCTAAAACATCATCTCCACAACATAATAATAAGAAGATTGAACATTCTCTCTTATTATTTTTATCGAAAAGGTATTTTGTTATTTTAGAACGATCAATTAAAGGAAGATTATAAATCATTGAAGCAATATTTTCTGTTTCTGAAGTTATTTTGGAATAAATACTAAAATATTGAGGAATAGAAATATCTTCTTTTAACATATTTAACACAAGTTGTTTATAATGAAATTGTTTTTTAATAATGTCAATATTAATATGATTAGTAGAAGAAGTATTATATCTAAGTGTTTTTAATATTTGCATATATAATTGAACAAAAAACAATTGAATTTTAGAACTTTTTGGAGTAGGTTTTAAAGAACCAACAGAATTTAAAGTTTGAAGGAAGTCTTGAAGAAGATTACTACTAAATATGTCACAGTCATAATTATTAAATAAAAGTAATCCAAATCCAGGTAAAGATGAAATTGTTAATAATGAAGTAAAAATAATTTCACATGTACTTTCAATAGTAAGAAATTTAATTACTTCTTCATTTTCATGAAGAACAAAATCCAAAGCACTTAATAAATAAGTCCAATAACATTCAAATTGACCTTTTAAATCTTTAATTCCTAAAGAAAATAATTTAGTTAATAAAATGATTGATTGTTGAGAGAAAGAGTCTTTAAAAATAATTGGATAAAGAAGATATTTAAATAATGTTGATGGAAGGTCATAAAAAAACAATTCTTTCATTGAATTAAGAATATTAAATGAATAATGATTAACAATAATTTCTTGAAATATTTTAAATGTAACAGTTCTTAATTCATTTGATGCTCTTTTTTTTGTTGATGGTGTTAAATAAAATAATAATTGTTTAATTGTGTTATTAATAACAGAAATATCATCATATGTTTTTGCTTTTGAAATTGTTGTTAAAACGACATCAATAAAACATTCAGAAGCTGATAAATCACTTTTCATTAATGGTGTTATTGAAGGTAAAATTTGCATAAGAGGAATATTATTAATTAAATGAACTATATTTTGAATTACTTGTGGTTTTTTATTAAATGAAATTGGAATTAAACATAAAAGAAATCTTTCAAGAAATAATTGATTTGATTTTGTTTTTGATAACAGTAAAATAATTTTATTAATTGAATTTACAATTACATTTGATATTATTGAATTATGAAGTAATATTAAATATATTGATATCACTTGTTGTAGTGCTGTTATATTAGGTGGATATTGTTTATAAAACATTATTTTCTTTTCTATTAATATTAATGTCATTTGATATTCTTTTATCGTATTCTTTTGTACTATTTCTACTACAGTTTTTAATGTGTTTTGTATTTCATTTAAAATTGCATTCGCTTCAACTGCCAAATCCATTTTTTAAATTTCCTTTTTTTGTTTTTTTTTAGTTTTCTTTCATTTTTTTTTCTTTTTAAATTTTATTTTTGTTTTTTTTTAATTTTTGTTTTTTCGGATTTGTTAACGTCATTTTTCATAAAATGAGATTGTTTTTAAAATAAAAATGTTTGTTATTTTATTATTAAAAGGAATAAAATAACTCATTTCATTAGAAAAATAAGAAAAAGAAATTAAATCGTTTTTTTTTTCTAAATTGAGTAGCAAATCAAAAACTAACTTTTATTTTTTAACAAAACGAAATGAAACACCCTCATAGTAAAAAATTTGCGAAAGTAAGAAATTATCAATCTCAACAACAGGCATTCTTAATTGGATTATTAAATGACCAATGTGATATAGTGTTTCAAAAACCATTCAAAATTAGTAAAAAAACATTACAATTTTTAACAATTAAATTAATATTATTCCCAAAACAAGATGAAATTAATTTTTCATCTCTTGTTAAACAAAAATGCGAATCGATTCTCTCATTAGAAATGAAAAAAGGTTTAGAACATAAAACAGCAATTAGGAGATTTGAAAATAATAAACACACAATTGGACTTGATCTTCTTAGAGATATTTTAGAAGCATTTGGTTATTTCTTTAATACAAAGAAAAGTAGTGGAAAGAAAGGAACTTTGATAATGGAAAATATTTATGAAGTTTTTCATAATGATGTGTTTATATTTTCTCAAAGAGACATTATCACTAAAGGAGAAATGATAAATAAATACTTAACTAATATCATTAGACACTCTGTAGATTTTACTCTTCCTAAAAATTGTAATGTAATTAATAACATTATGTGTCATATATAATTTAAATCATTTTTTACATTGTATAAATACTATTTATTCGTTTCGCCTTTATCATTTCCTCTTCGTTCCAAGAAAGTCTTAATAAAAATGTTATCTTTTTTCTATTCTTTATTACTTTTATTTATCTTAAAAATAGAAAAGAAAAATTAAAAATCTAACTTTTATACAATCATCACCCTTTCTGGAAAAGGTATAACTAAAAAAATTTCTGATGAAGTTAAAAATAAAACCAATTTCATTACCTTTAACATAAATTCTTTCTTCCAAAAATTATATATTTATGTTATTCATTTTTGTTATTGTAGATTAAACTTTGTAAAGAATATTCTGATAGTTCCAAATCAAAAAAACTATTAAGAAACTATTAAAATAAGTTAAAACCCTTGGAAATTTCAAGAATCATAAAAAAGTATAAAATTACTTGTATAAAAAAACAGGAAAAAAAAAGAGAAAAAAAAGTATCAATTTTATGCTGAATTTTGGTTTTTTCTTAATCTCAAAAATAAAGAACAAAAATAGTGAAATAAATGGCTGTTTGTTGAGATTATAATTATGATAACTCTAAAGAAAAACTCATTATAAATAGTGCTGTGGAGGAAATTCTAAAACAGGTACAAAAACCGAGAATATAACAACTCTTCCTATTGTTGATTCAAATAAACCTGTTGACTCTCAATATCAATATGTATTTAAATATGTCATTGTTGGGGAAGTTGCTGTTGGCAAGTCATGTCTTCTTCTTCAGTTCCAAGATAAAAGATTCCAACCAATTCATGACTTGACTATTGGTGTTGAATTTGGAACAAAAACTATTCCAATTCAAGGTCAATCAGTAAAACTTCAAATATGGGATACTGCAGGATCAGAAAAGTTCAGATCTATTACTAGAAGTTATTATAGAGGAGCTACTGGTGCTTTATTAGTTTATGATATTTCAAGAAAAGAGTCATTTGAA